TGGGTTTACAATGCTTTTAATGCCTTGGTAATTTTTTGCAGGGCTCATAGGCCAAAAGAAATGAACAACAGTTCCATGTATTAAGTAGTTAAGAAAAGCCAAAAGTAAGTTACAAAAAAAGCATATCTTCTTATAAAAAATAGACACTCTTCTGTTTTATTTCTTTTTTTTTTTTTAGACTAGTCAAGTGCAGTAGTGAAAAGGAGGGAAAGAGTAGAACAAGTTCGATCTGTAACTGACTGGACAATGAATTGAGGTAACTCACTACCTTCAGACCAGCCATACTTTTCTATTTTCATCTGTCATTTTCATGGCTAGCAAAGTAACATACAAATGGACAAATAGCTATAAAGGTTTAAACGAACAGGTTTCCAGCTATTCCACTCCCATGTATATGCTCAAATGAAAACAGGGATTCAAACAAATACTTGTACACTAATGCTCATATGTATTCACAATAACCAAAAGGTAGAAACGACCCAAGTGTTCATCAACAGATTATGGATAAATAAAATGTGATGTATACATAAAATGGAATATTAGTCATAAAAATGAATGAAGTACTGACATGTGCTACAATACGGATGCACCCTGAAAACATGCTGAATGAAGCCAGACACAAAAGGACAAATATTATATGATTCTATTTATACGAAATATTTAGAACAGGCAAATTCATAGAGACAGAAAGTAGGTTAGAGGTTGTCAGGAGTTGTGGTGAGTTTCTGTTTGGGGTGATGAAAATTTTGGTACTGAAATAAAAAGTGTCAGTGGTTGCACAACACTGTGAATATAATTAATGCTACTGAATTGTACATTCAAAATAGTTAAAATCACATTTTATACATATTTTACCACAATAAACAAAACTTAAAAATACAGGTTTCCTCGCCCCCTTCAGATCTGAAAAGTTGATTCACTGTGTCTATAAGATGAGATCTTAACCTAGAATCAAACTATTTCTCATCCAGCTAGCTGTTTTCTGAATTCCCAGAATATAAAGAGCCAGCAGGCTGAATTAATAATGCTCATTACTGCTCATTGTTAGGAACTGGAAAACTATGGTAATTTTATAATTTATGTTAAACTCAAGATTCTGGCTCTTAGCCACTGTGAAAGATAGTGACAGCAAGTAACTTCTTTAACTGGATCAAAGATAGTTATGTTTTTCTTGTAGTCATCTAACTGATATTTAACATTCTATAATTCAATTATGCTCCTATTGGGAGGTGGAGGATGGGGGAAATAACCAGTGAACACTAGCTTTCTTGCCTTTCCACTCAGTGAGCAAAAGCCTGAAGCAAGCCTATTTGTTTGATGAGTCTCAGCTCCCCCAAGCCTCTCATGATATGAGCCTCTATTCCACACTAATTATTTAAAGCCAACAGTGCGTGTTTTTATGTACAGCATGTGCTCCACTTGCAAATCAACCACTTGATCTTGTGCTCAAAGAAACACTAATCTGTTCCTATACTGAAGAAAAACTGGCTATTTAGGATTTACTGAGAGATGATGTGTGGTTCTCTAGAGGAAAGATTTTCAAGAGTAATACAGACTGCACCTGATTTTCACATTTTCAGCCTAACCTTTGAATAACCTCCAGTTTTACAGTTTCCACATTAGTAAACCTAATATCACCTGGATATTCACTGCGGCATTACAACACAGGATAGAATCCAAGCTCCTTAGTATGTTCCTTAATGCCTTTCAACAACCCCTTACCAGCAGTTTACCAAACCCACTCCTCCCCCCATTTCTCCTCTTAGGCCCCAATTGCCCTATCCTCCAGCTACATCAAAAGTATATGTGTGCTCCTGGCCGGGCGTAGTGGCTCATGCCTGTAATCCCAACACTTTGGGAGGCTGAAGTGGGAGGATCACCTGAGTCCAGGAGTTGGAGACAGCCTGGGCAACACAGTGAGACTCCATCTCTACTAAAAGTCTTTTTAAAAAATTAGCCAGATGCGATGGCACAAGCCTGTAGTTCCAGTACTAGGGAAGCTGAGGCAGGACGATCGTTTGAGCCCACGAGGTGGAGGCTGCAGTGGGGCTGTGATGGTACCACTGTACTCCACCAGCCTAAGTGACAGACTGAGACTGTCTCAAAAAAAAAAAAGAAAGAAAAAAAAGTAAAAAAGGTAAATTATACAAGTATGCTTCAAATTTTATTTAAAGTATTAAATATAGTAAAATTGATTTAAGTAGTGTAGAGCTGGTATAAGAAAAGGTTTAAAAGTCGGAGTCCAGAAAAGAGACTTACAATATACTTTATACAAGAATTTGATATCTGCTAACAGTGACATTGCAAATTAATAAGGAAATGACATTATATTCAATAAACAGGCCAACTAAGTAAGAGAAAACACTAAGCAGGCTGTTACCTCATTCCTTATGCTTAAATTCCAAATATAAACCTAAAATAATATTATTATTATTATTTTTTTTTCTTTGAGATGGAGTTCCGCTCTTGTTGCCTAAGCTGGAGTGCAATGGCACAATCTTGGCTCACTGCAACCTCCACCTCCCGGGTTCACGCCATTCTCCTGCCTCAGCCCCCCCAAGTAGCTGGGACTACAGGTGTGTGCCACCATAAGTAGCTAATTTTTTCTACAGACAGGGTTTCACCATGTTGGCCAGGCTGGTCTTGAACTTCTGAGCTCAAAAAGCTCAGCCTCCCAGTGCTAGGATTACAGGCAAGTAACTGGGATTACAGGCACGTATTACCACACCTGGCTAATTTTTGTATTTTTAGTAGAGGTAGGGTTTCACCATGTTGGCCAGGTTGGTCTCGAACTCCTGACTTCAGGTAATCCACCTGCCTCAGCTTCCCAAAGTGCTGGGATTACAGGCACGTATTACCACACCTGGCTAATTTTTGTATTTTTAGTAGAGGTAGGGTTTCACCATGTTGACCGCCTCAGCCCCTCGAGTAACTGGGATTACAGGCACGTATTACCACACCTGGCTAATTTTTGTATTTTTAGTAGAGGTAGGGTTTCACCATGTTGGCCAGGCTGGTCTCAAACCTCCTGACATAAGGTGATCCACCCACCTCGGCCTCCCAAAGTGCTGGGATTACAGGCGTGAGCCACTGTGCCCAACCACTAGCATAATTTTATATGTATATTTATTTATTTTGAGGCAGGGTCTCGCTCTGGTGACCAGACTGAAGTGAAGTGGCATGATCTCCCAGACTCAAGTAATCCTTCCACCTAAGCCTCCTTGGTAGCTGGGACTACAAGAGCTTGGCTAATTTTTGTATTACAGCATAATTATTTAAATAAAAAAGGTACCTTTTTCTAATACTTTCTAGAACTCAGAGTCAGTTGTTCTTTCCATTGCAGTGTCACTTGACTGGGCTGTGTGTGGTGATTACTTGTGTCTGCCTTCCCTAGAAATGGGTGAACTGAGCTGCAGAAACCGTATCACCAGCAGGAAGCCTGGCAGTTTAGGAGCTCAATAAATGGTTGATTTTTCATGTTTGAGACAAGGTCTTGCTCTGTGGCCCAGGCTGGAGTGCAGTAGTCGTGACTCACTGAATCCTAGACCTCCCAGACTTAAGCAAGTTCTCCCACCTAAGCCTCACCGGTAGCCGGGACTACATGTGTGTGCTACCATGCTGGGTTTTTGTTTTGTTTTGTTTTGTTTCTTTTTTTCATTTTTAGTAGAGATGGGGTATCACTATGTTGCCAAGGCTGGTCTCGAACCCCTGGGCTCAAGCAGTCCTCCTGCCTTGGCCTCCCAAAATGCTGAGATGATAGGTGTGAGCCACCACGCCAGTCCTAGAGCTCAATAAATGATTCTTTTTTTTTTTTTTTTTTTAAGACAGGGTCTCACTTTGTCACCTGGGGTGGAGTGCAGTGATGTGATCTCGGCTCACTGCAGCCTCGACCTCCTGGGCTCAAGTGATTCTCCTGCCTCAGCCCCCCCAAGTAGCTGGGACTACAGGTGTGTGCCACCATAAGTAGCTAATTTTTTCTACAGACAGGGTTTCACCATGTTGGCCAGGCTGGTCTTGAACTTCTGAGCTCAAAAAGCTCAGCCTCCCAGTGCTAGGATTACAGGCAAGAGCCTCCGCGCCCCACCAAATGATTCTTTAATAAAGGTGAAAGGAAACAGTCTGAGGCTAGGAGCAGTAGCTCACACCTGTAATTCCAACACTGTGGGAGGCCAAGGCAGGAGGATCACTTGAGGCCAGGAGTTGGAGACCAGTCTGAGAAACACAGCTAAAACCCCATCTCTACGAAAACAAAACAAAAGAAAAGGAGAGAGAGAGAGAGATGAAGAAAAGAAAAAAAAATTGCATACAAAAGCACCTCTTAAACCACAGACGACTTACCAACAGTTAAAATAGGTAGGTGGGGCTGGGGGGAAGCTGTGTTAATGCTGGGTCCCTGTAGCTGCATCCACAGCTAAAAGTTGGTGCTGGAGAGGCGGCATGCAAAGCGAAAAGAAGGGACCGCTTTGAGTTCTAGACCCAACGCCTCCGGTAACCACCTTCACTTCTCTGGTTTCTGCTGGCTCATCGGTAAAATGAGGGGTGGTATTTTTATAGTTCTAACACGTTATAGTTCTAGGTGGCTGTTTCATGAAGCACCGAGCGCTGCTCTCTAGCGGGTCACAAATGTAACTCGCAAGGCTGGGCTCGGCATTAGACTCTCGCGGGCAGGGACTGGCTATCTTGCTCGCTCCTCTGAGTCGCAAAATTGGCCTTCATGTATTGCTCAGTCAAGCACCACTACCAATATAAACGCCCTCCCACACGACGTGGCTGGAGCAATGTTTACTTCTGTCCCTGCTTCCCCAGGGCGCCCACAGGTTCGGGTAGCCCGAGATCTTCGAACAAGAACTGCTAGTGGGTGTTACATTCCCAGGTGCCAAGAGTGATAGGTCTGACTTTTAACTGGAAGTCTAAAGAAGCGAGCACCCCCACCAATGTTAACCCTTGCCTGAAGTCCAAAGTTAGGCCCTCTCCCTTTTCCCAGTGACCACCAAACTCACCGCAGAGCGCTGCCTTCGCGGACCCGAGGACAGCCCTGCGCTCAGTCCCGAGCAGCAACCAGGGTGGCACCATTGCGGACTGGCGGCCGCCGCGCTACTGACCACCTCCCCCTCCTCTTCCTCCTCCTGCTCCCGCCTCCGGGCGCGCTGCTCCAGGCTCTCCGGCGCCCTCCAGCCAGGCACCGGCCGAACCAGGTAGTGCCGCAAGGTGTAATTACTGCTTTAAAACCTAAAGGCATTTGGAAAGAAACTAAAGGTTATGCTTACTTTTTTTTTGTTTTTATTATTTTGTAGGAGACACAAAGTTTAAAAATAGAAAGCAGAAAATGTGACACATTATTTAAGATTTAAAGTAAATAAACTTTTCCAATTTACCTTATAACATGATTTTCATACATTGGATTTGTTTAAAACTGACTACCTGGATAACTTTTCTAAGAATTGTTTTAACTCTAATAGCTGGTTCAACTGATGTAGGCATTAAAATAATGTCATGTTGTCATCTTTCCTCCACGAACTGATGATATTTGACTATAGGTTTGTCAGAGTTATGTCCAACTATTGTATAATATGTGTCAGTTTCCTATTGCTACCGTAATAAATTACCCCAAATTTACTGGCTTAAAACAACACAAGTTTATTATCTACAGTTCTGTAGATTAGAAGTCTCACTCGGCTAAAATCAAAGTGTCAGCAAGCCTGTGTTTCTTCTGAGCTCCAGAGTAGAATTTCTTGACTTGTCTTTTCTATCTTATAGTGGTTGCCTGCATTCCTTGGCTCTCATGGCCTCCTTCTCCATCTTCAAAGCCAACAGCTTTGAGCTTCAAATCCCTGATTCTGACTCCTGCTTCTGTTATCACATCTCCCTCTCTTCCTCTGACTCTGCTGCCTCTCTTTTATAAGGACCTTTACATTCAGACCACAGAGATAATCCATGATAATCTTCTCATCCCAAGACACTTAGTTTAATCACATCTTCGAAGTCCCTTTTGCCAGTTAAGGTAACATATTCACAAGTTTCGGGTTTGTAGAACATGAACATCTTTGGGGCAGGAGGTCATTATTAAGCCTATCACACAAAGTTTCTCATTATCTTATTTTTTATTTATTCTCAGGTTGGTTCCCAAGCATAATAAAAGCTATATTTAACTGCAAATAGATTTACAGTTAAAAATTAAAATATTTGGCCAGGTGCTGTGGCACCAACCTGTAGACCCAGTTACCAGCAGGCTAAGGCAGGAGAGTCACCTGCGCTCAGGAGTATGAGGCTATAGTGCACTATGATCAGCCTGGGTGACTTAGTGAGACCCCATCTCAAAAAAAAAAAAGATATTTAGCATTATTTGGAAAATACATGGTTAGATAATCTTAAGGTAATCTATATTTTTATTTGATGTTTTCTTATAATGTCATTGTAATAGCACTAAAACATACTTACTGGCTAACATTTAAAAATAATTTCCTTTCTTTGAATAATCCATCAAGTAGTAAATTTTACATTCAATTAAGTGAAAAGATAAATGAGGAACATCAGAAATAAAAACTTAGTGTTACAGAATTTTCCTTAATTTAGGTCAAGTTTTGAAACAAAGATTGAAATCTCTGGAGATTTTGGTTATGCTAAGGGTACATCCACTGGAAATCAATATTTGAAATTTGTCATTCCCAAGAAAATTTAAGTATTGTATGGTATTTGATAATTTCTAAATTTTTTCTTATGAAGAAAATAACCCAAATTTCCATAATCTAATTCAATCCCTTTTAAAAAATCAATCATAAACTGGGTTTCCACATATAATACATTTTAAAAAATCTTTTACAGTGACACAATTAAGATGCAAATTATTTAGATTTACTCAAGTTTGCTTGTTCTTATTCCTCCAAGTTCTAGATCAAATGCAACGTATATGAAAGCTTTTGATTTACGAAGTAGACAATTTTGCCTTCAAAATTACACCACACAACCTATTCTTATTTGAGGAATATTTTATTTTTCCCTAGGGAAAAAAATTATCCTAACCCCCCAAATGATAGTGTACCTCTATACCTATAACAGCACCTGGCATATCTGTGCTCAATTATATTTGTTAATGATCCTTGTAAGTACGATATAAGCAAATACCAACTTTCTTTGCCAAGTTCTCCACATGCAAATACTATTATAAAAAAAGAGTTTTTAAAGTAAAATTTAGTGTTTAAAATTTTAACTCTCGTATCTTCTGATTTCTACGCCAATAGTCTTATCCTTAAAGCCACATCTGTCCCTTGGCTGAAGAGCTGTGAAAGATCAGGAGGCTTTTAGAATCTATCCATAACCAGCGTTGGCATTTGCAATATCCATGATTCAAACAAAATATTTTCAAACCAACTACTTTTACTTTTATTATGCACTGTGCTGGCCACTTTAACAGATAACCGGGCTTTGAGGAGGTATAGGTGTATTTGAAGAAATGTACTATCTAGTTAGGAAGAGAGAAGGACAGGTAAGACAACAGCAATGGGGAAGAAAAGCACAATAATATATGACGAATGTTAGATGTGACTTTAAGAGTCCAGAGGAGGGTAACGGAGGGAAATCGGAGTTTGTTTCAGAAGGCGCCCAGCAACAAGTGGAACTTAAGCCGACTCCTGGAACATCCGAGGTGCGCCCGCTGGCCCAGGATCCTAATAAATTGCCAGTCGGTAGCTATTACTCTAAGATTACCAGGGGCTCTCCGGGCTCTGCGGACAAGCAGAACGCAGGCGCCACGCAAGCCGGCCCCGCCCTTCACCCCTCCCCGCGCTCCCCGGCCCCGCGCGCGCCGCCTGGAACCTTCCCCGGCCAGGCTGCGGGCGGGCGGACGAGGCCCCACCTCTCCCGGGCGCCAGACGGGCGCGCAGGCGTAGTCTCCCCAGGTTGTAGACGCTGCGGCCCGGCCGGGCAGGGTGAGTTGGGGACGCGGCGCTGTGGTCGCAGCGGCGGTGTGGTCGCCGCAGTTTCTCGGTCTTCGCTTCGGCGACCTTGACCCGCTTGTGGGTGGGCGAGGCTGGAAGAGAGGCTCCCCACCCCCCTCGGCTTCCCGATCCCTGGGGGCGCCGGGCGGTCACCCAGGGCCGTGTGAGCGCAGCTCTGCAGGCTTCGGGTCCCTGCGGCTGCGGGAGAAGCCCTAGGCGTCAGGGCTGGCGAGGGGCCGCCTGGGAGGGGCCCGAGTCCCCTGGTGACCTGGGCGTGCGGCGGCCCCACACGCTTCCGTCCGCCTCCTCGCGGCGCATTTCTCTTCACAGCCTCGGAGTGTGTGTGTTGGTGACCGGAGGAAGCGTGTCTAACCCCGACTTTCTGGAAGCGTCGTGTATTAGGAGCTCCGGAGCCGGACTGCTTGGGTCCGCATCTCCGTCCACCACTTACTGGCTCTGGGACCTCTGCAAGTCAACCTCTCTTTCTCACTTTCAAGTGTAAAATGCGGGAAAATAATAGCAACTTACCTCCTAAGGTGGCTGTGAGGGTTGAGTGGGTTAATATCTGTGAAGTGCTTAGAACTGAGCGTGATACACAGCAAACCGTAAGATGCTGCTCATCTTTTTGAGCTTGGTATATAAAAGGAGATAGTGTTTTTTTCTTCTCTTTCCAACCCCCATAAATAATTGCCCAAGAGTGGGAAAAAAGGACTTTTTCTTAAGGGTATGGGCTTTTTGCATAGCCTGTTTAAAAACAGCTTTCTAAACAACTTGGTTGCACATCCTACTTTAGAGAAAAGACAGGTGTTAAGTGATGGTGAAGTTGGAAACTGTAAAGTTTATTATTTGGAAAACCGCATGAGAAAAATGGCCAGAACATATTTGTGCTAAAAAGAGTTAACATAGCAGGCCTGAGACTGCTATCTTTAGAAAGGACTGCTTGCAATGTTGGTGCTTGTTTGGCATCTGGGAACTTAGATTTTTGGGTTTGTGCTGAACAGTATGTTTTACACCGAAATTACCAGCTTCTGTAAAAATCCGGGACACCTAGTCTCTGATGGGCTTCCCTGCGCGGAAGCGTTGCATATGTGTTGCTGTATTTTCATTGGTGGAGGAAGGGTGTGTTTTGTTTGACCCCTCTTGGGAGGGAGACTGCATAAGGAGCCTACACGTGATTCCTCCAGACTCCACTTGTGTCTTTTTCTATTGTGATGAGCCTGTATATCCATACTGCATTGTGTAATAAATGTCAGCCATGAATACAATTATATGTTGAGTCCCGTGCATCCTATCAAAACTCTAAATGTGGGGGAGATCACGGAGATCCACAGCCACAGTTCTGTAAATTTGTATAAAGGTAAGGGATATAAGTGCAGTTTTGTTACAGGATCTATTTCCTAGTGATACTGGGCTTTTAGTGTGACCATCACCTGAATAATGTACATTGCTTCCATTAAGTAATTTCTCATTCCTCACCCCACTCCCATCCTTCCCATTCTCCAGTGCCCAGACACAATTTTGATGATATAAATAAAGTATTGGAAGCTCTAATAATTGGACTTTTAAATTTGTCCTTTTGCCTTAAATGGAAATTGGAAAACTGCAGATACATGATTGTCGAATCCTGGGTTACTGTACCAAATGATTCTGTCTGTTTAGACATATTACATATAGCAGAAAAATCGTCAGAAATTGCCTCTACATTACCAAGTTAAGTTTGAGTCAGTGTTTTTGAAAAAAGGCACAGGTTGCTTACAGTATGTAGGTCAAATGCCTGGTTTTGTTTATTATTTTGCTAGCATTATCTGTGTTAATGCTCATCTTTATCAAGAGCTTATCTGTACCACGGTGGGAAAATATAACCAGTTTCTCATAGACCATTTTCTCTGTACTTTATTAGTTACACCTATCTCTTTTCAGGACATCAAATTTAAATTGATGGAGGTATTTGTAAATTTGGGAATAGAAAGATCAAATTTGCCATCTGCTTATGTTTCTCTTCCCTTAGTGAAAGACTAGATCAGTTTTTGATAAGTTAGTGGGGAGATGGAGGGGTTAGAGGTTTAAGGAAAGTGAAGAAGTTTTGAAGTGGCTTTGTGGATAGTATGTAAGTTTACCAGAAGGTGTAGTGAATAATAATGGACCTAGTCTCCTTTCTTAAGAGACTTTCTCCCGACATGGAGAAAATGATTAATTGGGTTCATCTAGGATTGGGTTCTGCCAGAGAGGTGATGTCGTCCTTAAGGCTCTGCACAAGTATTCCAGTTCACCTCTTTTTGGGTACATGTAATGTTGTACTCTTTGTACATGGGCAACCCCTCTCCATGTCTACTTGAAGTTAAATGTGCCATGTGACTTGCTTTAGGAAGCAGCTCTCCATTAGCCATTTCCGCTTCTCTCTATCCTTCTGTAAGGGTCATGGAAGGACTTGAGATGCAGCCTCTTGTCAGCCTGGACACTATAGGAAATTATGAGTGGCTGATCAGGCATGCTGGAAGGACTAGGAAGTTACGATCAGAGAAGGGGATACTTAAATTAGTGATTTTATAAGGTGGAACTGTAGGGGAGAGTAGATGAGGAAGTTTGGAGGGAGAAGGTAGAGATGAAGTGCTCAAGGAACTCAGAGGCTTTTTACATGTTCCTAACCCAGAAGCCCTTAATTTATTGCAACTTAGTTCAGTAGTGATGACCTTTGGACTTAATGGTAAACTTGAAAGCTCCCTTATTGTGAAATATGTAATGAATAAATCAAGATTTGAAATTTAGTACTGAATTGAAAGATTCATTACTTTGATCATTGAAAAGTAAGTCAGCAACCATGAAAATTGCGATGTTGCTTAGCTGCCAGGCAGGAGAGTAATAGGTAGGCTAAGCTACTCTAACAGAGACTCCAAAATATAGTGGTTTAAAAAAATGCTTATCTTGTATCTAAAATCTTTTATAATTAACTGAATTTTTAAGAAATGTAAGGGATAGAGGTAAATAACACCATGAAGAAAGAGACAAATTCAGTGTGAGACATTATCCAACTTTGCTGTTGAAAGAGTATTCTGTGGGCCCCCAGCAGTGGCTTCAGTTTTAAGCTTTTTAGATAGGTAGAATCTCAGGTCTTGTGCCAAACTTGTTCAATCAGAGCTTTGATTTTAACAAGACCCTCAAGGTGACTCATGCACTGGCCTGATCTCTTTAAAAAGCTAAAGTCTTAGGCAAGTGAAAGGTTGAAGAACTGTTCTGTTAATAGATTAAAAGATGCTAAAGAGACACAACCAATATAAAGTGCAAACCTTGATTGGATCTTTTTCAAAAAACCAGCTATAGAAGACAATTTAGGGCCAAATAAGGAAATTAGAATATGATGGAAAATGAGATGATATTAGAAAATTATTAATTTTCTTAGATATGATTATATTGTTATATAGGAGACTGCTTATTTTTAAGAGATACATGCTGAAGTATTTAGGGATGAACTGTCAAGATCTGTACAACTTTCAAACAGTTCAACAACAACAAATATATATATATATATGCACACATATATATGTGTCTCTGTATACACACATATTGATATTTAAATAAAAACAAACATAGCAAATTGTTAATAGGTGTGGAATTGGTGGGGCACCATGCTTCATACCTGTAATCCCAGCAGTTTGGGAAGCCAAGGCGTGTGGATTGCTTGAGCCCAGGAGTTCAAGACCAGCCTGGGCAACATGTGGAAATCCCATCTCTACTAAAAAATACAAAAAAATCATCTGGACGTAGTGGTGTGCGTCTATAGTCACAGCTACTTGGGAGGCTGAGGTGGGAGAATCACCTGAGCCTGGGGAGGTCGAGGCTGGGTGAGCTGAAATCAGGCCACTGCACTCCAGCCTGGGCAATCGGAGTGAGACTCTGTCTCAAAAAAATAATAATAGCCGGTGCAGTGGCTCACGCCTGTAATCCCAGCGCTTTGGGAGTCGGAGGTGGGCGGATCACGAGGTCAGGAGATCGACAGGGTGAAACCCCCTCTCTACTAAAAATACAAAAAAATTTAGCCAGGCGTGGTGGCACGCGCCAAGCGTAAGCCCAGCTACTCTAGGGAGGCTGAGGCAGGAGAATTGCTTGAACCCAGGAGGTGGAGGTTGCAGTGAGCCAAGATCCATCCCTAAAATAATAATAATAATAATGTAATAAATGTGGAATCTAAATAGTATATGAGTGTTCATTATACTGTTCTTTTAACTTTTGTAAATGTTTAAAATTTTTCATGATAAAAAGCTACAGTGAACCCCCGCAAAATGTAGTAGCTTAAAAAGATAGAAATTGGCCGGGCGTGGTGGCTCACGGCTGTAATCCCAGCACTTTGGGAGGCCAAGGCGGGCGGATCACGAGGTCAGGAGATGGAGACCATCCTGGCTAACACGGTGAAACCCCGCCTCTACTAAATATACAAAAAAAAAAAAAAAAAATTAGCCGGGCGAGGTGGCGGGCGCCTGTAGTCCAGCCTGTAGTCCCAGCTACTCTGGAGGCTGAGGCAGGAGAATGGCGTGAACATGGGAGGCGGAGCTTGCAGTGAGCCGAGATCGCGCCACTGCACTCCAGCCTGGGCGACAGAGCGAGACTCCGTCTCAAAAAAAAAAAAAAAAAAGATAGAAATTTAATTTTCTCTTAATATTCTGGTGCTAGTCGTACAGCACAGGTAGAGTGACTTTACTGTGCTTGGCTTACAGCTTCCTTTTTTGATCCAGTATGGCTCATCCAGCTCCTGCTATTTCCTTGCTAGCAGAAGGGAGGAAAGGGTGAAGAGAACTCATTATCCAGAAGCAACACTTATTCCGTTGATGAAAACTTTAGTTTTGGTCATTCACCTGGACATCTTATATTTAGGGGCTGTGTCTTGGTTCAGCCCGCTATAGCAAATTATTATAGGCTGGGTTGTTTAAACAACACAGACTTATTTCTCACAGTACTGGGAGCGGGGAAGTCCAGGGTCAAGGTGCTGGCAAATCTAGTATCTGGTGAG